AAAAAAAAGTTTCTAGCTGAGCTAATAATTATTGAAACATTTACATGACAAAAAACAAAGCAGGGTGTATGGAAGCATGTGTTGTGTGACTAACAATACTTTAACGATATGTTGCTCAACACAACGTTGTTACAGCGAGGAGCTTCCTGACTCACCGTTCAACATCCCAGATGCAGAGAGGGGAGAAGTTCTCGCAGCATGCAGTGCCTGTGACGAAGGAGCTGCACACAGAGAGGCAGAACATGTCCTTAAACAAGGTGAACAAACATGTACTGACACAAGAAAACAAGGTAGGAATCTACCCAAAATGATTGATTTAATTTTTACTTTTCATTTTTATCAGCTGGCTTACTATCCTATATGGAAAAATATATTAAAAACAATTGCAGTGGATGAAAATGACCCTTATGTCCACATATGTAAAAGGAAGCGGTCATTCCAACGTTTCCTGTTTAACCAGCGTACTTTCCAAAATGCACAGAAGACATTTTATAAATGATGCTGAGATCTGGAAATCTTATTATTTCAAATCATTATTCCTTTTTAGATTTGCTTCCCTGTGGCTTCATCTAAACATCCAGATGAACAGACACAGTTTGAAACAGTGGATCCAGCACGAATCAGAAAGGGACAAGTATGAGGAGCCGGCAGGATTTAGCTGCTGGGCTCAAGATGCTCTAAAAGTGCATAAAGAGATTATCCCAGAACGCCTGCATCACATATTGCAAAGTAGCAAAAGATACACAAAAACTCCCTTTTAAAAACATTTGAAGTGTTTACTTTGAGTGAAATTAAAAGTGATTTAATACAGTTTGACAGTTTGTGCTAGCTCTGCTGTCTCAGAGTCAGAAGACTGTCTATAGTCTCCTTTCTCTGTGGGAGCACATGTGAGTGCACAGCATAGAAAGTGTTTCTGAAAAAGACAGTTTTGCACTGCTAAAGGAACAAAACTGTGAGCGCAGGTTCGAGACTGCTGTCTGTACAGAGCACCAGCGGCAGCACCTTAGAGGATTCATCGAGGCCCACTTTGCACTTGATTTCTTGACCTCATTTAGCAATTGTTATAAAAATGTTCTCTCATCACATAAAAGGTTCATTTTGAATAAGAATGTTTGTCTCTGGGGCCAGCGTAGCACAGCTGCATGCATACAGTACGTGTAGACAGCACATGCAGGGTTTGTCTGACCAGAATGGAGAGAAATGGGGAGTCTGGTAGGAAAATGTTCATTATCACAAATAACCAGATTCTCTTCTGGTCTTACATTCAGCACATGTTGTTTCCCAGCAGAATAAAAGACAAGAAAAGACCGCTCGAGCCTTTGACTGAAGAGGCAGGTTGGAATTAGCAGCCTCGGTATGCACAGTGAATGTCACGCATGTGGGGAGGTTAGGGAGAGGAAAAGGTGAGGGGAGGAGCACTGTGGGAGAAGGCTGACTAGGAGGGCTGAACTGGATGTGGAGACTCAGAGCTTAGTGCCCTCCCACAGGGTTGACAGACAGGGGGAGGACCCGCCTTTTACATGCAGAGGTAGCTACTGACAGATGCTTATGTCAAAATAATGAGGACTCAAGTCTGTACTGCAGTAGGTGGAGATGTTATTTGGAAAACATCACACTGCATCATTTCCACAGACTTGTCAGTTACACTTGTCATGCTTTCAACCTCCCATTCAGGCACAGCTTACAGGTGCATGACGAGATTAGACAGATTCTGGCTCCATGGAGTCATGCTAACGCTGGCTAAGTCTGTGCATTTGTGAATTTGCAGCCTACGTAGAAATAAAAAGTCTCCTTCCAGCATCAGAGTTCAGATTTCTGTTCCAAGCTGACAGAAGTTGAATCTGCTCTCTTTTTGTGTATTACTGATGAAACTCACTGCATGGCATTGTTTGTTATAATTCAGAGTAAATTCCCAAGATTATTAATGTCCTAGTTTTTAATCTATGGTAAGATAGGAAGCTCACTGCTAACTTTGAACTTCAGTGTCATCAAATTACATAAAAGCAGAACCAACTAAAACTTCAAAGCAAGATTTTGAGCAAGTGATGAGGTAGCACGGTACATGGGGAGAACTTTATCTCAAACTAGCTTTTAATAAAAGATATTTCTAGATTGAATGTATTAGATCAGGGGTGTCCAACTCCAGGCCTCGAGGGCCGCTGTCCTGCAGGTTTTAGATCTCACCCTGGGTCAGCACACCTGAATCGCACGATTAGTTCATCAGCTGTGTTGGATCAAGGACACATCTAAAGCCTGCAGGACAGGCGCCCTCGAGGCCTGGAGTTGCCCACACCTGTATTAAAGAGTTGAGGGGAAACAAGAGAAAACTGAGGCGGGAACAGAAAGACACAAAGCAGGACTGGAACCCAACCAGCACCATAACCATCATCTTGTTCTTTATTACATTTTTCTTTTTACATGGCATATTGTTCATGCCGTATTTCTATAAAGAGTCAAGTTCATAATCTTGACAAACATTTGTAGAACAAAACCTACAAATTCCAGGTTCTGTGAGGTGTCGAGGATGCAGCTGTACTCCAGCCTACATGTTCCTCCTCAGGACCAGACTCTCTTATGTTGAAAGGGCCACATGCTCTGTCTGACCTTCTTCCCCTCTCCTCTGCTTGACACAGCTCAAGTTGAATCAGCATATACTTTTAGCTCCACAGACAAACAAGCTGCTTGTGAACAGTAATGGCACTGTGGTGGAATCACATGCACTGGCTTGACTGAGCATTTATCATCCTGGAGGCTGTGCTGCCAAACCTAACAGGACTTGGCCTTACAAAGGCCTTGCAGCGGTGCAAAGCGTACCAAGCAGAGCTGCGACTGAGCCATGCTGTTGGCGTGTATGTACTTTGAACTGGAGCAACGAAGAACGTGCATGTTTGCAGGAAAACACACGCTCAGTAATGCGGGCAGCTGTCAGCCCCGTCACATAGCACAGACCTTTGGCAGGTTCCCAGTAATTAGTGTTGGGTAAACTCATTTATGACCCAGATGGGTCTGGGACCAGTAGGCACAGTGGGTGACCTCTGACCTTCCTGACACAGGATACAATAGGGTTATAGTCACACTTGCTATCTGGACCCTATTACTCTCCATTACTCACATTACTCACCCCTGACTTGGCTGTATCACAGCAAGAGGAGAGGAGGGGGACACCACCTACACAAAGAATGACTCCTTCTTATTTCTTCTGCTTCCTAAGCCAACTGAATCACCAACCAGATCTGATCTGGAGTCAGAACAATGGACTGATATTATAGCTGTTAAGGTCAAAGCCTCTATCGTGCCTAATTTTACCTAAACACATGCAAACAAACACGCAGCCACATCTCTGACCAGAGTCCTTCTCTTCTGCTCAGTCAGTGGCTCCCCATCACATCACCTCTCATTAGCAACACCCTGGCCAACCTCAACAGCTGGCTGTATCATCTGAAGGCCCATGTGTGTTCAGTGGGAACCAGTCATATCAGCAGGTCAAAAAGAAACAACAATTTTTCATCTCTCCAAACACACATTCATACACACTGATACAAAAACACAGGCAGCACCAGACACAGACACTTAAAATGGTCTCATCAGTGACAGGATCATGATTGATCCCTGATGGAATCGTGACCGATGGTCGACCGTAAGGATATCCCCCACCTGCGACGTGGATGATGCAACCACGAGTGGTAACACCGCTAAGCGGCATTTAGGAAAACCAGTGGTAATGTAAAATGTAACCACCAGGGGGAGCAGTACTTGTATTTCATTGCACTGCTAACGTTCTTATATAAAACGCAAAATCGAAATGTAAACACACTCGGATTGTGCAACAATATATGTGTGTGTGTGTATTTCTGCCACGAATATGTGGCGCTCTGTTGATCTCTGATGATTAATCAGGTCAGTGAAACGCTGCTGTACAAGTCTCATTTGGCACTGTGCTTAAAACTACTGATGCTTCTCACCATTTCCACTGTCCAAATAAATTAGCAGCCATAGCGGTGATGATGACAGTCTTGCTCAGGTTTTCTGCTGCTAATCTTAGTATGTCACCTTTGCTGTTTAATTTATGCATGTATGTTACTAAAACTGGTGTTAATACACCTGCAAACTTTGCTACATCGTGTTGAATTTATACTTAAAAATGTGCAGAAGCAATTTGTACTTGATGACATAATCTGAGGCAGCACGGTGACGCGGTGGTTAGCACTGTTGCCTCACAGCAAGAAGGTTGCTTTCTATGTGCAGCGCACGAGCTGCATTCATGTGAACTCCGACGTCACAACATCGGCCTTTTTTTTATCTTGGGGTAACTGTGAGAGCATGTCCTCTGCTGCTTTCAACAGGAACAACACAAGCTGAATATCGTGTAGGAAAACCTTAAATTCAAATTTTATTTGTCACACACACACAACCATACACAGTATGACATGGGGGTGAAATGCTTGTAGCTGTACAATGCCCGACCATTAAATGACAGAAGAAAAGTTTTACAATATTTACAATATTTACAATTTACTACAAAAATTTACAAAAATTTCACATGGAGTTCACATAGTAGTTTTCTACTGTCCCAATTTTGTGAAAGCACCAAGAGGTAGCTTCATTTTTTATCACATTTTCAAAGACCGAGCCCATAAAACGCAGCCCAAACAGCTGATCAGAGTCACATCTATCCAGTTCACACGGTTGGAACGAACTTTATTGGAAAAATGATGAGTGATGATAGGGTGTGTTTAAACCATCTTCTTGAGATGTTGTCTTCGGAGCTTGTGTCTGACATCCCCTACTATGTGGACTGGCTGGCAGAACATTTGACATGGGTGTTTTTCACATATGCATCTGCTGCTCAACCCACAAATGCATTTTCCTTACAAATGTGGGCAAATGAGGGAAAAAGTCTCTATCCAGTTCATTACATGCAATCACAATCATGGAGGAGACTGCTGCCATGATAGATGTCCACAGAATTCATAGTGTTTTATGTTTAGTGTCAAGTTTCTGCAGTCTGTGATTATTTATAATGTATTTCTGCCCACAGTGCCAAAACTACTCCAAAACAGTGTGTTGACTGTGGTTGATTAGCAAGCCCTGATTGACCTGAATTCTAGAGCGGGTGTAGTTAAGAGGAAGGCCAGTATGTAAATATCGTTGAAGACAAAATGATTAGCCCTCCCATTATTGTTATGATGTTTATTTTCTACACATACCGTATTTCCCGGAC